CCGAACAAATATGATGACAGAACTAAAGATCAGTAAACGGTTGCATGAGCACAAATCTTATTTTGGAAGGAAAAAATTGCGGTAATACGGTATTACCCGTAATACCACCCAAGCCTGGCCGACACCCCTCCCCCTGCTGTATCACTTAATATTTTTCTCTCAGCAAGACAGTTAAAACAACATATTTGCTACATATAGGTTAACCCACCCATCCATTCCCTGTAACCGCTTATCCTATTCAGGGTCCAGAGCATATCTCGGGGGGCGCAAGCAGGGTTGCTAACTCACGCATCTGGCGTAACACTCTCAAGCTCACTTAAGAAATTTTACGGCAAATCTTTAACATAATATAAACCTGCAATTTTTTTTGGACGCTAATCAGATAGAACAAGGATGACGGAGAGCAGTGTTTTCATCCGTAGTCGGTCCTGAAGTTTTTGCCTTGCTGAAAGACATTCGGTAAAGTCTCTCTCAGAACTGTTGGTGGTACTCAGAAACTTTTACACGACCAAGATAAATGTGCTGGCTGGAAGATTTGCGTTCAGGAGCCATCGGCAGCAGCCAGGTGAAGCGTTTGTTGACTATATTGCTATCTTAACGGGATTAGCAGCCACATGTGATTTTAGCACTAACTTGGAAGAACAGCTCCTAGATCAGTTAGTCTGTGGAACGTCTAGCCAAGAACTATGCCGGAGGCTGTTGGATGGCGTTGGTGGTGAATGACTGGCATGACACAGAATGATGGAAATTACCAATAGCTTCGAGTGCACTAAGGATGGATCATGTCGGTGCGCACAGACACTGTGAGCTTGGAGCAACGCGTTCGCAGAAAAAGGTCAAGGACTCCGCACAAGACTGTTTTTCCTCAGGACAGATTTTCAACGTCACGGCTATGGAAAACCTGGACATTTGGACCTTAGTGGTTGTGAGAACCAGAGCAGCAACGGACGAGGCAAACCACAGTTTGGAGCATCAGTGAATTTGTCAGACCGAGTGTCGAGAATGCGAGATGGGTCAGGGGTGAACTTTGGAGAGCTGTGAACAACGGCAAAAGACTGTGGATGCAAAAAATAGGACTGACATGAGACTGTTCACGGGTTGTGAGTATGTAAAGCTCTACAGACTGGTGATATAATGTAACAGAGTTAAAATTTATTTTGAAGTTGATACCGGAGAAGCGATGTCCGTAATTTCAGATCGCCTCCTCCGTGACGACACACCTTTGCCCTTATTGGCTGAAGAGTTTAGTTACACGCATGACGTTTGTATCCCAGGCAGTTCTGATGCGTAATCTATTTCTCCCGAATATCACGTAAAGCAGTGAGAACTGGTTTTCAGTTAATTTACCTGGTAAAATAAAATTTAAATAAATGACATAAATGCTGTAATAGTAAGTTAGTGGTTTATTTATTGTTAGTTACTGTAATGTTGCACTGCTTTATTTGGTTAATCGACCAGCCTGTGAAGAAGGCATTCAAGTAAGAATTGCATTGTAGTATGACTAGCTCTGCAATACACCTCTTGGTGCTACTTGGACAAATCATCAACTAATTTCCTAGCACGTACAATTTATATTAGGTCAGCGTTCACGGTTCGACTTCAGATCGAGTTCTAGGTCAAACTGGTTTGTTCGACTTTCAAGAAATTCGAGTTCTAGTGAGTTCGAGAACCGAGGTACCACTGTACATAGTATTTTTTTGTCGTCATGTATTTTCTCCTTTCTTAAATGCAAGTGCTATTAACCCTCTTTTAAGGAGTGTGTTTTCCTTTTTGTAAGACAGGTTTGACACCAGTCTGTTTTTCTTTTTTTAAATAACTCAATTGCTGTAGCTCCTGCCTTGTGGGTAGAGGAGATGAAAGGGGTAAGGAAACACGCATACACATGTGAAAGTCCATAGTTTTGCGAAAAGTAAGACATGAACTTTTTTGTGAATTGTTTTGGGTTCTGATTTGCTATTGGCCCCATAAGACTGCCTCTGGCATGGCAAAGGCCTCCCAAAGGCAAGGTAAGCAGCTCTGGAGTAAACATAAAATTAGAATAATCTCAGCGGTTGGTGAGAAGCTGAATGAAGATTCAGGTCCACTGCATTTATGTACTCATGATGATTGCCTAAAGTATATACTCAATGTTGTGTTACTGTGACGTTACACAACTACAAGACAGCCAGAGAACGTGCTCAAAGAGCCACAGAGACCTCAAATGTGGACAGTGCGGAGGAAGAGGTTAAAAGGCGTAAAAGGACTGTACAGTACACAATCATTTCATGGATGAAATACATTTGGTCAATTAAACCACAAAATGACTTTCTTTTGTCCATGAAATTCAAAGTCCTGATATCAATTCTGTGCACAAAACAAAACATTCTTTTTGATTTCTGTGCAGGAAAGACTGCAGTTTTTTTCCTTTTGTGGACAAAATGCAGCAGGACATTACTTGATTTTGTCATTAATTAATGCTTTTTGTGGAACAGAATATTCTGTATTTTGTACACGAAAATAAACGATTGACGCTTGGCACCCCATACAGAACTTGTGGACCTACTTATCGCATGCTCACTGTTGACTCGATTTAGACGAGAATTCTATCAGCACTCACCGTCTCTTCCTGCTAGTCCCAGATGCAGAAGGTTGAATCGGTATTTGACAGTTGACATCACACTCGCTATAGTTGCAGTGTATTGTGGGTCGAATTGCCATTGTGGGTATATACAACTCAAGTGCCAGTGTTATGCCGAAAAAGGCATCCCTGCTGTAGAATGCATGCCTGTCTCTAAATGACCGATTGGTAGCTGATCTGAAACGAGTTGAGCTACGATAGCACTACGGTAACTCGATAATCGATAACCCTAACCCCCAAAACACCCCTAAAAGCTCAACTCATCAGAACACCGGCATGCATTCTACGGCAGGGATGCCTTTTTCGGCATAACGCCTGCATTTGCATGTGGTATTATCTTTGGTAAGATGGGACACTCGTGCTGTGTGAAAGGCTGTCATACTAAATCACATGGTAGAAATGGCAGAAAGGCGGACCACAACATGAGATGTTTTCGGTTTCCCACTTGGAAAAGAGGATATGGACAGCAGGTAGAGGAGGTAACGAAGAGGCGTCGGGTGGCCTGGGTCGCAGCGGTGAGACAGAAGGAGATCTCTGTCAACACGATATCTCCCTTACTGCGTGTTTGCTCTCGGCATTTTCATAAAGGCAAGTAAGATGTTTTTTCTTTAAGTAGTATTACTGAATGTACTTTTTTGTCTTCTAAAGTAGGTATTTTTACATTGGTTAACCTACGCTGAGCAAGCTAGCCTCAATACAGAGGGTAGCAGAAATGGGTTAATCTGTTTGTGTTAAACTAGCGTTACATAGTGAATGCTTTTTAAAGACAAAAGTAAACAGCAAAACTGTAATGACACGTTTATCAATGCATGTATGTGTATATTCGCGTGCATGGATTATAAGCCACAATGCTGGGTAAGGCTGTCACTGTGTGCTGTGCCCTGACAAAACCAATGCCCAACTATAGTTTAAGTTTAGAAACATTTGCGAGTTACGGTTTCACATGATGTCTGGAAGGATTTGTATAAACTCATTATATACCGAGCCTGTATTCTGCTTGGCACTTAACTTTATTGGTCATATTTAGAATAAAATATATGTCCAGTGACATTTTTGTGGTGGTCTTGACTCTTTTCCTTCTTAAATACCTAAATTACTAGTGTGTTTTGGTAATGAAAATTGCTTATTACTGATTACATAAAACATTACATTTTTTGTGGAGAAAAAAAACGCTGAATATGAAATATTAACTTCGTTAACCAAATGTGTTTACATCCGCGATACACTCAAAATGGCGAATGGGGGCGTGTCAGACAGTGCAGACACGTGACTAACAAACACCGATTGCTTTACAACTGAAATATTTTCAGTTGAAATATTTGATGTTTAAATGATACATTCACATTAAATCACAGCCCACAAATATTGAAGCATTATTAAATACAATGCGTTTTTATTCAGTTGGTGTAATTCAACATGCTTCATTGCATCAGCGACGTTTATGGAAGTAAATCTGTGTCATTACAATTTGAATTTTATATGTCACTGAAATTCTAACATTGAATATTTATGCATTGGAAATATGCATCGGAAATCCGATGGCCCAAATTCACATGCAAAAATACGAGGTTAAAAAATACAACATTTCAAAGTTGCTCCAATTCGACGGTCCGAATTCACATTCAAAAATACGAGTTATATATACGGGATACCAATTAAGGCTAAACAATCGAATCTGTTTCGCAAAACTCCAAGTGCTTACGTTTGTGGTTAACTGACAAATAAAAGCTTTTTCTGGCATACCTTCCTAATAATCTGTTAGCATGAAGGGGGCGTCTTTTTTTTTCCAGACGTGGTAACCCCAAGATTTTACTTGGTCTTGTAATTCACTAACAGTCATCCTTGGGGATTTTTTTGCGCCTATTATGATCCTCCTCACTGTAAGTGGGGGAAAAATAAACTTGGGTCCTCTTCCAGGCAGGTTAATAACAGTTCCAGTTATTGTCCACTTTTTTTATTGTTGCCCTAATAGTAGAGATGGGCATTTTAAGGCGAATACCTATTTTTTAATACCCATTCCCTGACTTATGAAGGTCAACACAATTCTCCCTCATTTGGTTTGTATGTTCTCTTACCTTTCCCATGTTGATGGATGACTAAGGGAATTTGGGCTCTGTCACCTCATGTTCGTATACCCCTGTTAATCAGGAAGTCATGGATTAGAGCTGGAAGGTTCATATTCACTCCACTCAACTCAAAGATGTACAATTTACAGGGAAAACATGTTTCAGTTACATTGTGTTCACTATAATTTCCAGTGATGCCAATAATTGTGCCACATGTGTTTTTGTTGAAGATAATTATTTCTTTTTTTTTCTTGGAGTAAATTTATGCTAATGAAAGGTTGGATTTTTCTCTATTTTTCAGTGTGACATGAAACTGCTTCACCAAAAGGTGGATTTTTTTCTAACCCTTTTTACAAATCTTTACAAAGGGTGCCAATAATTGTGGAGGACTCTGTAATGTGATCAATCTTCTGAATGTTACTGCTGGTATACTGCTGAATTCTCAAATCTGAAGGGCGTTGATTAATTTTCTATAACTGCACACATAGTGCCTGCCAGGCAAATCAAAGTAGTAAACCAATGCACAATTATAATCATATATTAGGCTAGACTAGACCCAGTGATTTTACTGGAGCGGCTATTGAGTAGGCCTAACATTTTGGCAACTGGGGGAGGCATATAGTATGCTGACAGTGGGGGGCTCAGTATATTTGGCTGATTGCAAGCATTATCTGTTAATCATCTTCTAATCAACTGATCGACGGGGTGACCAGCTCTGGTCAATGTTGCTAATGTAGCAATTTTTATCAACTTTTCAGGCTACCCTGGCAACTTTTTTTTTTTTACAAAAAGCAGCTACCCGCTATTTTTTTAATTAAAAAATTTATTTTGACAATTTTAGCAACTTAAACTTATCAGTCAACAACCAGGCATGGATCTGAAGATGCGTGTTTAACGCCTGCGTCAAATCAACATGCAGACCGGTTGTTAAATGATGAGTTGGATCCCCCTCTTGCCCTTGCCATCCAAGCATCTCTTGAAGATCTGAAATACACTTTGGACCTATTAATGGTGATAATGGTGATGATCAAGACTCGACCCTTCCCTGGAATCCACATGACAGTATGCAGTATTACCACATGTAGCTATTGTTTTTTTTCCTTCCTTAGATATATGATTTTATTCAATCAGTCTGCGTAAATTTTACTTGAAAACCTGAGGATATGTAGGACGCCAGGATTTGAGATCTCAGCATCCACGTTACAGAGCTAGGTCCTTAATGACCAGTCCTCCGGCTGTCTAGTCGAGTTTATTTTTACACGATTAATCGCGTTTTCCTTCCAACGTTAATTCCAATTATACAATGGAAGCCTTTCATGTCTCCCCATAAACATTAATTATTTCCTGCCCACAGTCTTGGCTTTTGGAAAAACATGCGAAGTAGAAGAATCGTCGGCGCTACAGGAACCGCCGCAGGTGCGGCATAATTTCGGTCAGATGGACGTCGTATCTTGCGCCTCTCTCTCTGCTCAGTGTGACTTTGCAGTACACGTGTATCTCATTTAGGGTTTACTCAGGATTTCCTTTACAGAGCAGGAAAAAGGCATCCCGGGTTGGAGGTGGGGGTAGGTGGGCATGTATAGTGAAAGCGCGATACTTCGTGGGATGTAACAGATTTTAGAAAAGAAGATTTGGGTATCACAGTGGAAGCGTGGTCGAATCAGAGGCCCCTGAGACCTTTGCTTTAAGGATCCCTCCCAGTAATCTGTATGGAAGGGAAGGAGCTGTCACATTTCTCTCTGGGATGTATAAAACAACAAAATGCGGATCAACGTTTATCTTTTTATTTTTATTTTCCACACAGGTAAGCAAATCAAATTTAGACTTGTACTTAATCCCTTTTCCGACGTAATAGCATAACCTCTCAAGTACACATATAAACAAAGAAAATGCAATATCATGGCAACAATGTACGCACTGAATCTAGGTTTCTAACCCCCTCTAAAACTTTTTAGTTTTAGAGTCAAAATATAGAAGACGTTACGCTCGACATTTTAATTTTACGTTCTGGCATAACATGAAAATTAGATTTATGCTTTTGCGGGAGAAACGTAGGTACCCTTCGTGAAAAAATTAACCTTGGAATTATTTTGACAACCTCTCGTCTGTCGATGCTTTCAACAACACCCAGGAGCGACAAGTCACCCAGTCCACTTGGTTGGTTAATACCTGTTTTAATGATAGACTACTGTGAGGTCGGTAACAGCTGGAAGTTAGATGGGTGCGTAGCGGCACCGTCAGTATCATAATTACAACCTTCAACAGTCAGTGTAACACAATTTTTGTAACGCGTATTTAAATATTTCTATATAAATGGTTAGTCATCATTCAATAATGTTTTTAAACATTTACTTTTAAAATGGTAAGTGGTAAAGTGTGGCAGTGAAGCTTCTTTTACAGATATCTGTTCATACTGTGAATTTGAGCTATATGTTGTCTTTAACCTGTGGTTCCACAGTTTTGACTGTATAACTTCGCTGAGGCGAAATGCTGTATTATCCTTCGATGCGTGCCCGATACAAATGGCCTTTCATACTTTAGGCCTATAATCGTGATTCATACTCAAAGTTTCCAGTTTTTTTAATTAAATAGCTACCTGAATTTATTTCAAGGTTGAAATAAATATATCTAGGTACTTCAATCCTATATCACCAAACGTTTGTATTTCATATTGTTTTTTCATCGCTTATTTTGCGTACTTAACGTCCTTTTTAACTGATCAGAATTACTTGTTACTACTTTTCGTGACTGTTAATTATTCATATCCGATAGACAGAAACGTACAATTTAAAGATTTCTTTTGTTCAAATGTATATAATTACCTTTGTTACATACAGTATCTCTTTTTTAAAAATCCGTTTTGCTTTAATTCTTTAAATGAACTGATTTAAACTGTGATGTGAAACACTGGGTAAGTTACATAGGCTTTGAATCACTTTGTACAGGTATTGATAGGAACCACATACCTACCAGTGGATGTGATCTATAGTTAACACAAAAACAACTGTATTATTTTTTCAGACTGGAAAGAGACCCGTCATTCTTCTAAGGATATGAATGAATTCTGGGGTGTGTATGCCCAGACAAACTTTGGTACACACACACAGACAATCTCTCAAGAAATTTTGGAACTTTCCAGTAAGCAGGAGAAATCACGGCATTCAGGGTCTCCTGTGCCAGATTTAGATCACAAGAGCAATATTCATCTCACCCTGGGGGTGGAAGGTCAAGGGTTGGGGTATGGCACCACCGTCACTACATTCCAGAGCACAACCCCGGCCCCCTCCCTCTGGACTGGTTCCAGTATGTCTGCAGTACCTGATAAGGAAACTGCCGTCCTCGCTCAGGAAGTGTCACACAATCACCCGGACGCGTCTGGTACCGCTCCTGGCGTTTTGTACATTAGCACCAGCTCTCTGGGCCGCTCCATGCCTGAGAGCAGCGGGCAGAGGCAGATCTCTGTAGTACCGGGCCAAACGGTCTCAGAACATCTGGTTGCTGATGTCAAGTCAGAGGTGTCACTGCTCCTGAAGTCCTCCACGCCTTCCCCCACTCTCAGTTCTGTCAGTGTACCATTCACACAGAGCCTGGGCAGCCATCTGCAGACGGCAGACTCTAGGCATGCAGGAGCTCCTCTCCTTTCCACTGCAGGGCTGCTAGAGGCCTCCTCCTCCAGAATGCTTTCAGCCATCACTGCGACTTCTCCTGGTTCGCTACCGGATGCCCTGAGCCAGCAGAGTGACAGCTATGACACTCCCACAGACCTCCCAGGGGGAAAATGTCATGTTGATATGAGCATCATCCCTTCCAGCATCACGTCCTTCCGCTCTGAAGATGGACCGGTTGAGTTTGACACCCAAAGCGTGTCACCCACTTCAGGCATACTGCCAACTGCCTCAGATGCATTCGCCGAACATTCACTCATCACTGTACCTGCAGGTAATGTTGACACAAAGGATTTCATTCAAAATGACAACAGATTGTCTGTCTTTTGGCACTTTCCTGGAATGGGGAAGTTGGAAAATGCTAAGTGGCACTCTGGTTCCCCTTTCACCATAGGGCTCTCCCAGGAACCTTCAGGAGAACCAGCCACAGGACCAGGTGCCCTTTTGGGAAGGGATTCGAGAAATGTCACCCACAAAGGGTCACCTTTGGGCTCAGTGCTTGAGGACACTACTAACATGGGATTAGGACTAAGTCACATGACTGCTGTGGGTGCCACTGGGGAAATTGAATTAAACACTATAGATGAGGCCTCTCATCCAGATGTTCCTTTGTTCTCTAGTACTGAGAGGTTGAATGCAGAAAATGTTACCTCAGAGAGAATTGGAGATACCATGCAAAGCAGACATCCTGACAGTCAATTTACAACCACTAATACTTATGTAGGACTAGATGATCAAGGAGCACATGACATTACAGACTCCAACACATTTCACTTTCAGCAAGAGTCAACCGATGTAAGTAATGCTGACTTGCATCCATCTGATCCCCATACGAATCCACAACAGAGTTCTGCACAGTCACACTCCACAGCATCTCATAGAGGAACACAGCCAAATGGTAATTCCTCCATTTACAGCACCGTAAGTGGTCTGGAGGAGCTGACCACCATGGTTTCCATGTCTCCTGTATTGACCCAAAGAACTAGTGTATCTCAAAACCTAGATGGAAGGACTTTTACCAGCAGTAAAGGGGATTCTGAGAATGAAAATACCAGCCCCGAACATACTACTCGAGAATACTCTCAGAGAGTAACACCAGTACACACCCTCACAGTCAGCTCTACCGAGTCTGAAAAGATCCCACTGAGTAGGAGAGATGGGACCTCCACCTCAGTAGATCCTCCTACTTCTTCCACTTTGAAGGTGAGCAGCCCCAACTTCCTGTCACCAGGCAGCTTGCCGGTGAATCCTATGGCACCGGAAAGACTGTCCCCTTCGGTGCAAAGTGGAGTGACACCATACTGCCACAACTGTGTGACCAACCCACTGGTGACCACCAATTCCACAGTCAGCACGAGTGAACGTGCAATCAGGCATGGCCCTGTGAAGAGCACAGCAGCCCCACCTTCTACATCCCCTCCCAAGACGGCGCCAGAGGCCCTGGGGAACCCCCTGGCCACTGAGGGGGCTGTGGCCATGGGCCCATCCTCCGTGCACACCACTGTAAGCAGGCCTGGGACAACCCTTCAATCTTCAGCTCAAACGGTCAAACAGAGAATTTTCATTGTTGAGGACCAGCCAGCCATCATCAAAGGTTAGCACTTGTTGATACCTACTTCAGACAAATCCTTTCATTTGCTCCTTAACTTGGCCCCCCATTTACAGATAATGTCTATTTTCCACTCACAACATCAGAAACTGTCTTAGTCCTACTCCTTAATCCTAGGATAACAGGTTCATGTTAAATCATCACGTAATAGCAGCATAGTGCAAGTATGTTTACAGACCTTTTCAGGTGAACTTAATGTGTAACAATGCCGTTGTAACAGGTATAATAAGCCTGGGAAAGGCTGAGTACAAAGCTCCCGTTTCAGAGCAGAAGCTGTATTGCTCTGTATTGGTCCAGGACAGGATCAACAGGACTTTGGTCCTTCCCTACTTCTTTTTCTAGCCCAGATACCTTTGCCAATGGCTCATTGCCTCCACCCGCAGAATCATGCTAACTTATTCTGCTGCCAGGAGGGCCACTGGTCACAATCTGCAATCATACTGTTCATATCCATAGCCAAGTCTGCACATGGGAAGTACCACTAAACCATAAAACTGTAATGATCCACTATACCAGTTAGACATAAGAAAAGCACTAATACATACTACTGAATAGTTATGACATGTGAAGCAGGCTATTAGGTACCATTCACCCAGTGGGATTTGAACCAGTCAGAAGTACACTACGTTAACATGACCAGTCTCGAGCTTGACTAGTGATTTTGCACATTTGTGACTTCCAGAGGAAACAGCACAGCTCCTCCTGCAGGTCGTACTGGCATCTGGGCCGTTGGGGGATGAAGAGGATCATCATCTGAGAGACTTGGAGGAGGACACAGTCACAGAGGTAAAGCACAGCAGTGAGTGTGGCACTTTCTCAAAAGAGAGTAAACTAAACATCAAGGATGTGTGGCTCAGTGGGTTAAGACTTTCTGCTTGTGATCAGAGGGTTGTTGGTTCAAATCCCAGGATTGCCAGAATTATTTCTTTGTTCAGTTCATAACCCCAATTGCTCCAGAGGTCAGAGGCTTTCACAATTGCATATTGCTTTGGATAAAAGAGTCATGAATTTCCTCCCTCACTTTGCAGTTACATCCATTCTTACAGAGGGCTCCTGGCTTTCAGGCCCTGCAGCTGTCATGGACAAGGTAATTAGATTCCTCCTCTCTCTCTGTTTCAACCTGCAAGGTGCTGGCCTTGTCTGTGCATGTCGCCCTATTTCATTCTCCTCTCTGTGCCCCCCCAGCACCTCAGCTGTCGTGCAGAGCGTGGCCACGTTCGACACCAGGAGAGCCCTGCCGTGGCTGGGGGTGGCTGGGGCACCCCTCCTGCAGGTGACGGGGCTAAGTGATGCCATGATGAAGGGGCTGTATGTGAACAGCGCGAGAGTGCAGAAGATCACCGTGGGAGGTAACGGTGGCTTTTTAACATGCAGTAATGTCCTTGGGAACCCATAGCCTGTCCAGGTTTTTGCTCCCCGCCAAACAATCCACAATTTTTGCTCCCTCCCAGCTCCTATGTGAAAGCATGGACTGTCTGTGGGTCCCCGAGGACCCCTGTTATAGCATGTGGAATCAGGTGGAGCCTACAGCTGACCTCTAGTCCTTCTGCCCAGCAGGACTGCAGTCTGATCCTTGCTCCTGGCTCTTCCTATGCCCCCCCGGCTTCCGATGTGTGCCAGCCCACTCGGGCAATGCCAGCTGCACCTCGCTGTGCCACGCGGGCTATTGCAAGAATGATGGCATATGCAGCCACCACCATGGCGAGGCGCCTACGTGCCAGTGAGTGACCTAGTGCTGGGGGCCCCAAGATTTTCATGGGGGCATGTGGGGAGTGGCCATGGTAAAATTAGTCAATTAGGGGAATGGCGAAGCGCTGAATAAGCGGACGATCTATAGCCACACCCCGGGAGAGTCTGGGCTTTTTTATTTTATGTTTACTTTTGTTTATATTAAAAAGGGAAATTTAAATAAAATACATGATGGTGTCCTTGGTGGGTGAGATTTGGGGAGGACACATTGGTTCATTTGGGCGGACATGGCCTAGAACAAATGCCCTTCCATGACACTGATACTGGAGTGACCATGCTGTCCTCATCACTGCCTGTGCACATGTGTGTATGCAACTCATAACATCAGGGTTTAATAACGCGGTTTGCAGTTTTACTGTGTAGTCACCCACATTTGTCAATGATGAGGAATTCACCACTATTATAATTTACTCTTAATATCATTAAATGTGAATAGCAAAGATGAAATGCTTCCAACATCAGTGTAGGCCAGAGCTATTCAAATCACGGTCCTCAAGGGCCGAGCGTTGCTGTTTTTCCAGCTTTCCTTTACTTGAGAGCCAGTTGTGAAGCCTCTGGCCAATTAGAGCCAGAAATTATTAAGCTAACTACCTGGGAGACTTGAAAACAAGGCCTGGATTTGGAATCGAGGGCCAGATTTGAATAGGGGGGCTGTAGGCCAGGGCCCGCTCGGGTGCAACAAGCTTTTATTTATGTACTTTCTCTGCCGCTGGTCTTTCTGTGCAGGTGCCCCGTTGGTGAGGACTTCTGGTTCATGGGCAGGCAGTGTGACTCGCAGATGACACGGCAGAGGCTGGTGGGCGTGTGCATTGGCGTGCTTATTGCTGTGGCCCTGCTGATGGCCGCCGTGTCCTTTCTGGTCATACGGCACTTCAAGGCCATGCTGGTCCAGGCCAAGGTGGATCAGACACGCAGCAGGTACGTACGTCTGCTGACATGATCGCCAGAGGTGCGGATTTGAGTCACTGACTTGTGACTCAACTTGGGCTTAAGCCACAAGTTTGTGACTCGACTCAGCAAAACTGATGGAATGACTTGTACTCGACTTGGACCCGATTGGACCCTGTGACTCAAGAAGACTTGAGTCTTTGGCTGGTTTTTGCTGCAGTAACCAAACCAAAGGTAAAAGCACTGACATAGACTCAAGATAAATGACTCACAACTGAACTTGGACTCAAGTCACAAATTTGATGACTAGTGAAAAGACTTGGACTTGACTTGGACTTCGGGGTAAATGACTCGGGACTTGACTTGAACTCGCCAAGAAATGACTTGTTCCCATCCCTGGTGATGGCTTTGTGCCAGTCGGGCTGAGTGCCTCGAACAGTCATTCTCTTATGTTGCTTGATGCAAGGGCGGAGGTTTGGATTCAACATTGGCAGGGACCAAATCAGCCCCGAACCCCATGACCCCCTTAAATACACACAGTCCTCCCTACCGTGTCCGTACCGGCCATACCCAAACCTACGCCCAGCGAAGAATAAAGTTTAAACGTTCCCTGCTTACTGAGACAATGTAAAGATGCTTGTAAATATGTTGACTGGAAGTGCTCAACTTTTACTACATAATGCAGATCTTGGCTGATTTTCAAATGAGTTCTGTCAAATAACAGAAATATCTTACTACCCTGAACTTACAATAATGCATTGTTTCTCTCTTCGGTTTGTTTTGCTGTCGTGTACTATGAACTTCAGCATATATACATTTCCTTTACATCTATTTTCCAAACCACTTATCCTTTTCTGTAGCCTATCCCAGAAGCTACAGGCACAAGGTGGGGAACAACCCAGGATGGGGGATGGGGGGGGGGACTTGAACTCAGGTCCCAGAGGTGTGAGGCAGTGCTAACCACTGCACCACCATGCCACCCCTTACCGTTACATCTATACTTTATTAGGATGAACAAGGCCTGTGTGTATGGACTGCATATCCTGAATAGTCTAAAGCCATGACAAATATGTCTGTAAATTACTGTTTAAACAATGGGACTGACACGTTTTCTGGTTAGCAAGCAGTTTGAAGAGATTACTGTTTATAGTTTGCTGCACTAAATACCCTTTCACGGTATGGTGACATTCACAAAAAAATGTGTTTTTACAGAAAGGCTTTTACTTGTTTACCTCTGAAATATCCTACCAGGGCAACCAGACAGCTGCAGTGGTCTCCACGGATCAGTCCAGCTGTATCAATTGTAGCATTGTTTCACGGTGGAGTAGAGTAATTGTCTGGGTGTCAGCTGAACACATCCTTTGGCGAGGCCCAGAACCGTGTTATCCTTGCATTAGGTCAGCTGATTGGCTCTGGTCAGCCTAACAGAGTCTGCTGTATTTACGGAGCGACTGAACAGATACAGAGAGAGCCAATGAAAACAAGCTGGGGGAGAAGATAGCGGAACATGGATGGAAACTGTGAAGCATGGATTGGAGGAGCTGGGTGGGGATCTGGTCACAAATCACATTTTTCACACAAAACAGCGTGAAAATAAATATTGTACCAGTATGGAGGGTGGCTGGAAAAAAACTCCTGCTGATTCATAAACAGTAATTAGAGCCAAAGAACCAGCTTATGCTCAGGTCAATTGCTTTAAAAAACAAACCTTTTAAAAGGTTGGGAAATGCTAAATTTATCATATTTATAAGAGGTGCTCAGAAACCTTGGTGGCCTTTAGCTTTCAGTGCCGATGGGGGGCTGCTGAGAGAGACACAGGCTTCCCCGCCTGAATATGCGTGTAGTTCTGAGCGTTTCACATTTGGCTCCCCCGTGTCCCGCTTCTGTCCCCGTCCCACTCACTCTTCCTGAGCTCTGCACCACCCCCCGCTTCCCGTGTCAGCTCTGTTCAGGGTCAGTCTCGGCTCGCTTTGTATCTGTGTGCATCCGGTGCGCAACGAGAGCGAAAACAGAACTCACAAATGGAAACTCTAAACCTGAAGTGGGCAGTCAGGTCCAATGTGTTGTTAAATACCTTGTATTTATAAGATAAACATTTGATTCTGATATCAGTGCACTTCAGAGACTCCATAAAGAGACACTTTTTCTGTCGAGGGGACTTTTCCATTTAGGATTATGCAGTGTCCTCACATAGTTCATCACTGGTGTCTCTAAGTGGCCCATTGTACACGTGCATGTGCCTGGTGACGGACCAGCATCCTGTCCAGAGTGCCCCCTACCTTGCGCCCCATGCTGCCTGGGACAGGCTCCAGGACCCCCCAAGACTCTGTACTTAATAAACGTTTTAGTATCATTTTGACTCGAATGTTTTGTTGTTTGGCCAAAGCAGTATTTAGAAAAAAAGCTATTTGTTCTTGTCATTTGTTCCCCAGTATTGAACTGAAGGCTCATTTATATATTACCTCTCTTCTTTGGCAGTTACAGACGTTTCAATCACTTTGATGAACTGTCGGGCAGGTTTTGGCTACGGTCTTGGCCCGGATCTGCGGATTCCCTCGACAACCCTGTTTTCAGTCACTCCGATGAACTTCTCCACCTCCGTGCATTGGACCAGACCTGCTGTTACCATGACGACACTCTGTCCATCGTGTCCACCTTCCCCGGAAGCGAAGCACAACTCAACACCATCTACGCACATGGGTGAGCAAAACTAACAAAAGTTTAGAGAGAGCTTCATATAATCAACTTCTACACTCTGCGTAAACTTCGACACAAAAATTAATCGAGTAATTCAAAATTAATATATAAAGAATTTAAAGTCACTTTTTCCCCCCACATCAATGTTTCAATGTTAATCTAGTACAGGGGTCTCCAACTCCGGTCCTGGAGAGCTACTATCCAGTAGGTTTTCTATCCTCTCCAGGACCGGAGTTGGAGACCCCTGATCTAGTAAGTTTGGCTGTAAAATACTGCCACCTATTGGTAAATCTAGGCATGTTTGTGAGCTTTAAAAAATAAAATAAAATACAGCAGCACCACCTTGTGGTCATGACAGGGATCTGGCCTCTTCGATTTCCAGCGTAGTCATCTGGAGTATTGGAGCTCACTTATTTGAAAGCTAAAAGCTTTTTTTTTTTAAAAAAACTAAAATGCTTATTATATATCAATCCAATTTTGTTTGTATAGCACATTTTCACATTACATTGTCTCAAAGTGCTTTATCTCATCCCTGCCCAAAGACCCCAGTGCCAAAGGTGACAGCGGCAAGGAAAAACTCCCTAGAAGGAAGAAACCTTGAGAGTAACCAGACTGAAAAGGGGAATCCATCCTCTAAGGGCTGGCAGAGGAAGCCAAATGAAATAGAATTTAATTTATGTATCACTGCATGCTACCATTTCAGGACAGGACGATGCATGTGGAAAGGCAGGAATGTAAACCTGAAATTTACTCTTTAGAGAAACACGGGAGCATAAGTGTCTTTTGGGTAATGTACTTGTCTGGCTGAACGTTGTTTTCAGTTCGCAGTATAACTGGGATGTTAGTGGCAGCAGCATCAACGATTTCATGGCCGACTCCGGCAAGGCGAGCGACATCTCTGTGTGCAGCTGGCCCGTTGAGCCCATCCAGTGGACGCCGTTTCCGTTGCTGCAGCAGCTGGGGATCCAGCGGCCGGTGAGCACTCAGCAACCCAGGTTCCCAGTTGGCATGGATTACACCACCTTTGGGGCTCGCCTGCGATTAGCGCCGGTTTCTGGTCCTTTTAAGCATTGGGTCGTTTAGTTTGTATATAATTCATAATCATGGTTTAGGTTGTAAAATTTGGCAGTTACACAGTGATGGAATATTCTGATGGAAATGTATGGAGTGGAGGAGGGACCATATTACTATCCCATTGGCTACTTCCTCCTCCTGGAATGCGAGCAGTGGTCAGGATGAGGGTAGCTCAATAGGTGGGGTTGGATTAGGATAACTGACACAAAAGACACATATGCACTCACACGTACACACTGCTGGAACTTTATTGTGGGTTATACCCGAGAGTTGAACAGCTTCGAATTCTGATGCAGAGATCAGCACAACTTTACAAACAGTAATCAGTCTGAAAGTACAATCAACAAAAGACCTAACCTACATTTTCATTACATATCAGCACTAAAATCCGAACGCAAGCAACAAAGAGGAAAAATAAAATAAAAAAATAGTTAATGACTGCATCAGTGGAAACATTCACACAATTGACAGTTTCTACCTTGTATTAGACCTTAGTCAATTTATATCAATACAAATTAGGATTGTCCTTCAAAAAGTGCAGTTCCCCTTGATAAAAATTCTCAAATGACATCGGAAGTCTCAAAAAGCACTTTTTCATTTAAGATACTTATTGTTTTCTATACATTGTTTAAACAGTACCAAAGCAATGTGCATAACAGTTATAAGTGAGCACTTCAAACTTTCCGACATCTGATTTATTAAACAAAATCCATAGGGGGACTTGAGTACAGTGAATCACAGCTAGATGCTACAACTGGCCAACATTTCAAAATACATGGCACATTTTAAAAGTGGTTTTAATTCTCTGCCACGACAAAGGATTGTTTAAAATGCACGTGCGAGTGCATGCGGACAGCCCCAGGTGACAGACGCCTGCCTTTACTCGAGGGCCGGATACACGCGAAGTACCCAGGTGTTCAGACTGCCCGTTTTGTGCGAATCTTACCAAAGCTTTAAGGGTTTGTAAAAACGACAAGACTGCAGTGCTCGTAGTTAAAAGGTAAATTGCTCTAGCCTAATGAGAAACAGCAGGGAGCATTTAAAATGGGGATATTTTTAAAAAATAGTAAATATGCCAGGCCAGAAATTTCCTTCACTTAGGCCCGGCAATAGAAAACTGCAGAGCAGCGATGGGGATTGTACATTGCTCGTTTTATTTTTCTCACAGTAGCTATTTGTAGATGATCATTTCAAGCATAAACATTGTCCAGCTTTCATGAAAGAACCAATCCCTTTCGGCCCACTCCTCTATTTTGGCATGAGACCCCCGCAAGATCAATATCGTCTAACATCAGACAGTTCTACGTAGGTGAACGATAAAGCTGACGGGACCAGAAGGCGAGAAGGGGAGGGAGGGAGGGCAGCCGGATGCCCCAATCCCATGATTCACTTCGATTGAACACATAAGCACTTGGGAGCAGGGAAAATATGTACACGCCTATGTCCGCAAAGCAGCGCGGCTGAGTCACGCCTGGAGTTCTGTGACACAAAGGAGAAGAATCCTAACCTCAAGGAGGGAAATGGCCGCTACACCAGGAAGTAAACTCCAAAAATGAAAACACTGAGGCTACCTGTAAAGTATCACTAAGCGAGAGTATTCATAGAGTCGTGCAAGTAGTAGAGAGATGCAGTTATAATGCCTCGGAGCATCAGTGTCTGCTTGTGTCTTCCAGACTAAGACATCCCGGCCTCGCTCCTACTGCGAGGGAATGGAGCTGGTGGACATGGAGAAAACCTGGACTGAGCACCACCACAGCTAAGAAACCAGAGTACAGAATAAACTGAACGACAGCCATCAACATGGAGCCGGCGATCCAAAAACCTCCAGCATCGCTCCCATCTGATCAGGAACTACATGCAACCCAGTTACAGCCCGTCTGATCTATTTTTTATTTTTATATATTATATATATATAAAAATAAAAAAAAATACATACACACACACACCAAGTGCAAATCCAAGGGTTTTCATTTCAGCATTTTGTTTTATATATATATATATATTCTAAGAATAAACCTGGTTTATATGTTCCACTTAACATTTGCTAAAAGTAAGAAACAAGTTCTGGAGCTGGAGAATCTTTTGATCGATTCATATTTGGTAGAGCGTGTTCTTTATGGTTCTATACTGGCATGCCACTGTTCAGGGTAATACTCAAGGTTCTGTAAAATGCTTTTCAAATATGGATAAAGGAAAAAAAATATATATATAAATTAAGGTCCGTGGCACAGCCTAATGCTGAAGTCTTTGAAGCTTTTTTTTTTTTTTTTAAATTGTGCATCATTGTAGAAACTAAACAATCAATATGGTTTGTATATATACACACATATGCACATTGTTTCTGCACATTTGCAAACTACCAGAAAGATTACATTCACCACTCTTCTAGCCTTCCAGAGCCCCAATTAGAGGCTCTGCGTTTTAAAAGACAAACCGACGACGACGAAACAACCTCAACAACGTCAACAACAAACATGTACTGAGCAGCCAAAAATATGTCAGGATTTATTACTGTGGAGGAACTTCAGATGTGAATAACCAAACTGTACACGTTACAATCACAATCTGTAAACAGGTAAAAGCCACTTGACGTGTTGCATCTTCAGACAATTTGAATCAAGGCAATGAAATGTGGGTGACTTTTGCACTGTTAAAATGTCAACCTTGATGAACAAACAAGATTTATTTTTTTGTTTAAACACCATTGTGGCAAAGAGTCTTGCAAATAACATATTCGCAATCAAATATTTAAAACATTTCTTATAAACAAAAGGTGATTCTGTAAGCCATGTCTCTGGTTACAGTATGCATAGTTACTGATTTCGGCGTTTTCGTAAAGTACAACAATTAAGTCCGAGAGTCACAAAGAGCAAAACATCGAGCCACTCGATAATGGGAATAAAGGGAAGGAACGATAGAAATTTAGCGATTCGGCAAAACAACCTCCTCCACTCGCTAATAAGAGACAGCATTTCCGAAAGCAACATGTAGAATATCTCCAGCTTAAAGCAGTTATTTGGCAGAGAAAAACTTACAGAGCTATAAGTAGTTTCAGTGCTAAAAGTTGGATTTTTCTACAAGGAGTCTGTATGCGGGGGATCTGGAGAAGTTTCCTGAGAACCATGCTCGTTATCTAGCAGACGAGAGGAATAGAAAAATGGCCAAACACTGATCAGTATTCCCAGAGATAGAAAGCTTTGTCATTTTTCTCTTTTTGCTTTTTTCCAACTTTTGTTTTTTTTTTTGTTTTTTGTTTTTTTGTAATTTTTATATATATTTTTTTATTTTAAAATGGAGTAAACACTTTTCCTCGAAAAAAAAAAAAGTCTGTAAACAAGAGGGCACAGTGTGACCTCCCCAAAACAAAACTGAAAGCCTATTTGAAAGTGCTGTTCCCCTGACTTGCAGGTCAGGCTTGCAAGTCACAGCTGTGGCTACAATTTTTTAAAATTTTATTCTTTTTCTTTTATACACTGCAGAGCTAAATTCTTTAGTTTTAAACACGACAACTGGTGCAATACTTTTTTATATTGTCAAATAATCCTAAGTCAGCATCTATATGTTGATGTTGAACTCCACAATACCACAATAAGGTAGGCGTACATCGAGGCATAGTAGAGCACACACTTAAGAACATCCTTGAGTAAACAACTACACTGGAACTGCCGGTTCCCTCGATATTGCAGATTATACTGAGAAAAAACGACATTCAGTGCAAAGTTAAAAGCTCATACTCCAACATTGTCAGCAAAAACGAACGCAAATTATAACTATGGAATTCAAATAAACACTATGGATGAACGAATGAGCTCATCTGAAACATCTTTTTCCATACAAGTAGCACTACCTGGAAGTGTAAATATCTGCTTTCACATTATAATATTGGCCTTGCATGATTCAAGTATTCAAACTGATATGTTTTGGGCTAAAAGAAAGTGGAAAACAGGGTGACCCCATCTTTCATAGCTGGGAAAGAGTAAAACTAGTGCCGTTTGTTACTACTATTATTTATTATTATTATTATTATTATTATTCCACACTGAGGTCAGTCTAGGTCAGAAGGTGATAGATGGTCTACATGGTATCCCCACCTCCAGTCAGGTGGTCGACGGGGAGGAAGGAGCTGATGGGGGATGGGCTGCTGATTCCCCGGCTCTCGCTACCACCGGAGGTCCCCCACAGGCTAGTGGAATAGTTAGGGGCACCCCAGAGGGAGGTGCCGTGTGGCTCTCCCCCGCCAGCCCCTGTCAGCCCAGCACCGTTCCAGTGGTTCGGCTCGTTGCGGTTGGGGAAAGGGTGAGGACTCTCCACTGATCCGATCCGGTTCTGAGAAGCGCCCAGGGCCTGCCAGTTCGGTGAGGGGGCCATGGACTGACCTTGTGCAAAGAAACGGCTAATTTCCTCTTCACTAGCGAACTCAGCGAGAATAGTAGTGTTCCCTAAAACGCACCTGAGGAGGGAAGACGTGGGTTAAGGGCACAGCCAAACAGCACCCAACACACTCGCTAAATATGCTCACGTTCATTAAACCCCAAGAAGCTTCTCGCATGTCCATTCATTGCTAATTGGCTCATGTTGAACACCATTGTACACTTTTTCTTGGGTTTGAGGACCTGTCAAGATTGGCTGTGAAAGTTTGATGCCCCTGACGGAGTCATGTACTCACATGTGCAGAGATTTCTGTGCCTTGACCGCCTCCTCCTTCGAACTGTAGCAGACGACAGCGTTGCCGTGGGGCAGATTCAAGTGGAATGTTATCAGTGGACCATGCTGCAAGCACAGGGTCCGTAGGGTGGAGCCGTCAATCTGGGGAGGAGGACGAGAATGGGACAGGGATCGTCTCCACAGTGCTGAACGACATTCACTTGCCGGCATACGGCACACGAATCCAGTCTTCAAACAAACGCAGAAGTTACTGACCTGAGGTGTGAGATTTTTGAGAACAAGCCAGTTAGTTGTTCTCCCTGAGCTGTTGTCGCCCCAACTGGAACCTGTATGAGAGATATTGGACAGCCTGAGACTGAGTCAGCGCCTTGGAATTACGCATTCAAAATGCCCTGTGACAGTAATGTTCCAAACTTAATGAGCTAACTGGTTATTTGGAAGCTTGTAACCCAGAGTTGGCACATATTGCCATTTAATGGGTAGCAAATGGAGCCATATCAAAACTCACATCAAAGCTCAAACAATCAGAATGAATTTCAAACCTACTTATTCTTCCAGTAAAGATGCCATAGACTAAAAATCAGACTTTACCTTGGCATCGTTGAAAAAAAAGGAGAGTTTACTACACAGAAATGACATACTGTGAATCTCAAACTGTTGTTCCCTCTTTCAAATATAAATTCCCGAATATGTAAAAGGAAGCTAATTGGGCAGTTTCAAAATTCCTTCTTGCACTTACCGACTTTAACAGTTCAGCAAGTATTGTGAAGAATGAAGCAGAGGACAACACGAAAATGGCAGGCTGTATGCATAAGGGTGCCGTTTGAGGCTATGATGGGGATGTTGGCACTTTTCATACCTTTCTCATGGAATAGAACTGTCAAAAGGCATGGTTGATGTTCATCGTTAACAGGTAAGTCAGGAGTATATTTCTTAAACGCTCCCGTTAGCAACATGGCTGGAATCGCTCAGTTGCAGGTTCGCTCAGTTGCACGGTTCTAACTATGCAATGTTGCAAGTTTTTGGGAAACTGTGCCCCAGTTTAGCAGGTGAGTAGTAAACATTACAAGGTATGTCCCGTAGCGTACTTTTGGTTAGCTAAACAAATATCTAATCAAATCGATATTTGAAAGCAGAACTTCAAATTTATAAGCTGCACCTCTTGCTGTTTGGAGTTCTTAATAAAACATGCATGATAAAGCTAGAATCGTTATATCATTTTTCAAGAGATGAGTGATAATTTCAGTGTTCTTACAGTGTTGAGAAAGTTATGACTATGCTAGCATTGTGCCTATGCTGAAGTGGCACAATTACAATTACGCGCGGCAAATTGTTCAAGGAAACATTAAATGACAAATTACCACTTCACTCATATTCTTTGTGCAACTGGCTGCCCATCAGTATTTGATTCCTCCTCTGATACAGGCTCAAACATATATGGATGGATGCCTAATCACCCCATGTTTCACCTCACCTGTAGTGATCTATGTTGGTTCTGTCTGAGTCATTGCAGTGTCTCATTGCAAACCAGCCAATATGTTCATAGCAGAGCTCATGAACATATTAATGAGCCAATCAAATAAGGGAAACAGCGTGTTTCATTGTAGGGCCAAACTAGAAGGTTGTAAATGGGATTGTAAAACCATTTCTGGAATTTTTCGACCAAACCAAGTTCACATAACTTCCATGAAGACACCAGAGAACAAAGAAAGAAAAAAAAAGCGTTCTATGGCACCTTTCAAAGAGACCTCGTTTCCACCAACACGGAGCTGGAGCTGGTGCTGCTGCCAGTGCTGGGTTGGATCTTGCTTGAACCAGCCTGTTTCTCCCCAGGTTTCATATGAACTGCATTATTCTGTATTTATTCTGATCTGTTTCAGCTTTTTTGAAGTTTTTATACATTTGCCAAACTGAAAAAATGGGCCTAAAGTTTCATAGTTCTCAGAGTATGACTCATTGCACATTGCACTTTTGTGTGCATAAAGGCTGCATTTCTCCCCAGTCTTTGTGTGAGAATTTATTCTCGTTTGCTGTTTAACCACTGTCCTTTGAAGGGTCGCAAAATAAGAAAGTCTTATAAAAAAGCTAAAAATTGAACTTTGCTGTCTGCATCATGAACTCTACACCACCTGGACATGACAATTTTTTATTTTATTTGACCTGCAACATGTTTATAATGTATTACATCTGGCCAGCAGATCAATCTCTCATTTACCAAAGAATATATTTTTTTAATTATGCAACGTTATTCAGATAATAAGCTGGCAAGTTGTTTTGCTGCCGGCACCAAAAACTATATCTGTTATGGATTAAATTTTCTGGGTATGTGGAAGGTTGGGATGCGACAGCCCATCCCCACTTTTGCTGACATTACGGTTCCATATTCGTAAACCAAATTTTCTGTGCTTCCCTGCTGGAGCAAAGTTTTTTTTGCAGTGGAAACGCGCGGAACCAGTTCTGGATTGGGGAAAAAAGCACGGCACCATATCAGTGGAAACGAGGTACCTGATTATCAAGTATGACAGAAAATTTCTGCTAATCAAACACCAAAATCTAGCAGAGAGCCTACAGGCTTCTGAGGTGTTGCACTCAGCACATTCCGGAGCCCCTAGAACCCACCACCTAATCAGGAGCCAAGCACTCACCAAGAGTGAATCTGGAATCAGAGCCGCCCCAACATCCCAGCCTCATTGAACTGTCCCAGGATGGGGGGGGCTTCTGGCCCGTCAGGCCAGGGGGCGGGCGGGACGGAGCGCTGAGTCCCTTCGGCGGCAGGGGAACCTTCCACAGCTCATGAGCCAAGGAGGTGTTGGTGACTGTACCAGGAGACCATGTGTATTTAGAGTCACTATTTCTGGCTATCATGTGGGGAGAATAAGACAAGTGAATGAGTACTGTTACGAGGGAGTGGCGGCAGCACTGGAGCGGGGGGTCTTTCCCTGCGGGGACAGGGACGTCTGCAGCGGGGAGACGCACCTGAAGTGCTTTGTGCTGTACTGTTGAGGGAACCACTGTAGTTGGAGGCACGAATGGACCAGGCACTAGTTGAAGGCAGCGAGGTGTTCAGAGATGAGGTTGACCCTGTGGAATTAGCAGTTTACTTTTAGAGGTTCAGATTCTATACTGGGCACATTCCGAATAGCGTTACTACACATTTCTTACTTTGAGTAGTCAAAGCTACCACGTTACCATTGACAAAAAATTACCCAGAAGCACCTGGGAGGTTTGCAAGCACGTTAAGTGGAGATGAGCAAGCCAGAGCAAGAAACCAAAAAGAGCCAGTTTGCCCCAGGGGGTGTTATTTTACGTTTATTACACAGGTGTGAAGTCTCCCCTTTGTCAATTATATCACAGATCATCCTGGGCTTTATTCCAAATAAAATGTTCAAAAAACATTTCGTGATTAAGTACTATAACTATAACAATGAGAAAGGAAAGCCAGAATGCCAAGAACAACACAGCTAAAACCTATGGCCTGAACTTGTCCTGCCAGTGACAAGGCGTATAAAATAAACCCAGTCAGATGGATGCTTAAACCATCACTCTTTGTACAGGACCCTAATCTAAAACTTTGCACGTGTATGCATTTAAAAAGGAAGTGGAGGGGTCTTACCATTATTTCTGTCCCTGAGGTGATCAACATCCCGGACAGTATTGATAGACAGGTTATTAATCACACTGCCAGGGGTCACGTACGGGTCAGTTTCTGGGTCAATGTTCGGGTATCCTTTCCAAGGCTCACCAGGCCGAAATTCTGAAGTGGAGAAATTCCACACCACACACTGTAGCTGCACACAGAAAAGAACTTCCAAACAGATCAAGGAGGGCACTTTAACACACTGCCTCAAGAACTAAACACTAGCTGGAACCAATCTGTCCTTACAACTGATGCCATTAATTCGCCACGACATCGCGAAACCAGGAACTGATTCTATTAAAATTTAAAACGAGAACAGCCAATCATGACCCTCGCTGAACACTGGATGGTTCAGACTAGTTCTAATCATTAATTAAGCAAAACTGTCCCACCCAATGGAGGAGAAGAGGAAGCAGGCAGCGGGGGAGATAGGCTTACCTGGGGGCCAGTTCACGTTGTTGGAGCCATGAGGCGATTTGGCACGGCTGGGCCAACCATCACCCACAGGCCCGTGGGGGCTGACAGGGGAGTCACTGGGGTTCATGAAGTCGTATGGACTGAAGGGGGAGTCTTCGAGCCTCAGCCCAGAAGAAATAGCACCTGTGTTTCATACAAAGACAAACGGCTCCTGTCACGTCAAGTTGCTGGATCGCCAAAGCTAACAGGAGTCCCTATAGCCCATTGGGATATGAGAATTACCACCACATGTCGCTATAGGAACCTCAGTCTCAATGCACAGTAAGAACCAATCTAAGACTGACTCATTCATCCTTGTTCAATAGTCTGTTATAGGATCTGTCCGTAACTTTAATCTTAGTCCGTAATCTTGAATGAAAAAATAAGTAAACAAATGTACTGACAATGCATTAGACTCATTCAGTGGCCTACCGGGTTTGCTGGAGTTCTGATCTAGAGGTGAGTTGAGGGGAATATCCAAGGCAGTCCATTTCTTTAGCCGGGACTGTGGCTCTTTGTAATTAATACTGACAATATCCAGATTGTTTACATTCAAGTTTGAGTTTAAGCCTGGAGAGAGAGAGATGGAGGATTTTTGTAACACAATGTCGAGAGAGCCAGCAAGAAACAGACATCAGGTATGTGGATTCTGCCATGTGAGTGCCTTAGGAGACAAGTCCAGCATCCAGTTAAGTCTACATCAATACAACAGATTAAAATGAAATCCAGTCCCTGTAGGGTTGAAAACGATACCACTGACACCAATCTGCTGTGACCAATGATGCATTTTCAGGAATAACACATTGGAGAGCAGTCAATGACGAACTGAAACTTTAAACGAGAGTGTGGCAGATTTATATCCCTCTAATGCATACACGGGCAGTGATGGTATTTTTGTACTAAACTCATGGAAGGTCTGTTCGAAATCAAGACTACAGAATTAAAGAAATAAATCTTTCATATGATGCGCATCCATTTTAATTCTAAATACTGATCTAAAAGTGAATCAGTATGAGCATTTTCAGTCACCACAGCAACAGAATGCATCCTCTAAATTTAAGAGCATACCTTCCGACATACCAATGAAGGCATTGAAAAGCCTTTGGGTACATTTTCGTTTATGCTAATACCAGAAAAATCCACAGGTGCACCACGCACATCCAAGGCAAAATCTTTGATGTGGTACATTAAGCAGATTTTATAGCGTGCATTCAGAAGTGGGGGAACCCAAGAAATGCAGTCCGCATGATTTCATGCTTCGACACAACGCCCACTGATTAGCGCTTAGCGGTATCCCAGCACCGGGGAGGAGCTGTCAGCCCACTCAACAAGATAGACGAGTAAAAAATGTATTCACCTCTTGCAGTGTCTGTTTCATGGCTTGGGAACGTCCTCCCTGACTGAGGGTGTACAGGCGAGCCCGGTGCGGCACGGCCATCGCTCACGGGGGGAATAAGGAGGCTATGACCGTGATTACTGGCTGGCATGTCCGCAGCAGCCATGGTGGGAGGCTTCACAGCCTGGCCCGAGTTAGGATGGGGGAGAAACCCACCTAAAGGGAAGCTGCCGAATGAGCCAAGGCCGCTCTGCTCTTTCTGCAGGTCTGGGATGTTTTGGGGCATGAGGTTCTCTAGGTAAGACTTGAGGCCTGACTGAGGCAGAACAGGCGGCTGCGGGGAGGCCTGCTGCTTCAGCATGGAAGGATCGAGGAGGCGAGGCGGCTGCATCATCTGTTGCATGGAGCCCAGTGGTCGGCCCTGCGAAACAGCGAAAGGGGCTTCAGTGGGCAAAGCAGCCCAACAGCTAGGAATAGAACCACAGAGGTGAAGGAATAGCAGAATTTTGGTAAAACTGCCCCAATGTTTGGGCTACTAAAGTAGGGACGGCTTCCTACCGGCTGGTCATGTGGATGGCGGCCATTGAGGGGCATGTTCCTCTGGTTCTGGACCTTCTGCTGCTGCAGGAGGAGACGCTGGAACAGATCAACTTCAGTCAACCACAACTGACCCTCTGACCATCTATGGGTGTGCCGACTCGCGTATTCAACAATCCTGGGGGACTCAGTGTTGGAGATATTTCAATATTTCAAACAGAAACTCTTACCTGCAACTGGGAGAGCTGGTTTAATTGGGACAGCTGGTTCAACATGGCAACCTGCTGTGGACCAAAAGCCAGAGGATTGAGACCTCCGTTGTTCGGGGGATATTTCAAAGATGCTGGAACCTGAAGGGAGGAAATAAACGGTTTCAGTTTAAATAAAAATATAAATAAAAAACACAGCAGACTCACGTTTGTTTACATCACTTCACCATCCGGCAATGTTTACAACCAGATATTTACAACATAATACATAGACTCAACTTTCAAAGCCAAAATCTTGAATGGATACAAGATAACTTATTGTAACACTGTATTAACCATTTTCAGCTAAGAGTCCAGTAAAGTCAAAAGCTGGGCAATATTCTGGCCTTTGGAATCATTCACCCAGATTCTCCCTCTGACAGGGCAATCCCGTGACATACTCTCTGGATGGTTTCATACTGTGGCACACAGACCACAAGAGCTTTCTAGATCGTCTTTCTGATGCCATTTATAAAATAAAACTGTGTTTTCAAGCACAGAATGAACACTGCGCTCACAGTGGGAAACAAAAGTATACACAGCACAGCAAACACCTCAAAACAAATCACAACAAAACAAGACAGCCAAGCGTGATTCTGCGGCGGGCTAGCCTGGCACGTCAGTGAGGGAGGCGGATCCCCTACAGGTACCTGAGGGGAAAGCAATGGAGGAGGCACTTGAGAGCGGAGGTTAGGCTGAGATGAGTTGAGAGGTTGTGCTGGAGGCTGCTGTGAGCTCCTGGCTTGTGCTGATGCTGCATTACTGCCATTGAACACTGGGTTAACATTCTGAAAGAGGAGGGCAGCAAGCGGTCAGATGGCATGAGAAGCAAGAGACTGCGGTTAAATCCCAGGCGGGAGGCACACATGGGGGAGTCCAGTGACCTGCAGAATGCTGTAATGCGCGAGTGAATCTGCATCCTCTGACCAAACTCAAGCTGTGTTAGGTTGACTCCGGCACTAAACTAGGGCTCTGATTGGGTAGCACATTGTTGGGGATGATTAGACAGACACTTCACTCTTCCAATACAACGCCATCCTCTACAGACAGGGGCACAATAGCAGGAAAGGGCAGAGCGGTAGGCACGATGGCAAGAGCAAGAAAGAAGATGGGCCAGACAGAAGCCCAGGTTCAGGGAGGGAAAGCCCGGGACACAGGAACAGAACAGCGAGAACAGCAAGGTTAGAGGTCAAGAGCACAAAACACCAGGCTTGGTTCTTACAATGGTAATTCAGTGGCCAAATGAAGTCCCATGACCCACTTGGTACACTTTCTGTCCCCACTAGATGGTGCTCTTGGTTTACTTTGGGATGTGCTTTGAGCCCTTTTATAAAACAGACAGCACCATCTAGTGGCATCAGAAAATACAGGAGATGGTTCATAAAGCATCATTTGGCCGTCACAAGAATGCAGAAGACTTTAAACAGCAATTCTTGACTGTTCTGTACCCAGCATGCAAGCCTCCATTCACGAGTATGACTTCAGCTTAAACAGTCGCTGAAGCAAAGTTTGAGAAAAATTATGTTGACTTTTGAAAGAGCACTGAAGGCACCTGAGACAAGGAAGAGATGCAAATGTGAAACTGTGTGCTGCTGAGCACCGAGAGAAGTTTATGCAACCAAAGGCCATGGAGTACAAGAAATGTGGAGAGAATTGCCAACAGTATCGCAATCTGAGCTTAAAATATGCTCCCACTAATGACCGATAAAATGTACGTGCTAAATCGGTATATTACAGTAACCTAAGCTGCTTATAAATTCAGAAGCATGGTAACACCACACCAACTATTTCAATTTCAAAAGCTCACATTGACTCAATTATGAGGAAGTGTGAAGTTCTCTGCAAATAACACAATGAATGAATGACCATAAAATTAAACGTGATACTGGATTGTGCTGCTCAACATTAATATATCATCTACCATGCAAATTGGCAGAAACTGACAAACATGCCTAACAGACTAGCTAACAGGATAAACAGTATGCCCTGACATTAATAATGTAGGAATTAAATGACAGCAATAAGCATCAACAGAATATTCCCACAGGAAAAGTACGTCCTTACTAACCCCCCACAAAGTCTGGCTGCTTGACAAACACAAAAGACATACATATAAATAGAATTTAAAAACCAGCACTGATTTCTGGGAAAAATCAAAAATGGTGCCAAGCAGCAGCAAAGGTAACTGCCATAATTTTAATTGTCTTAAATCACAGCTTGCAAACAATATCTAGGATCGATGTGTTAATTCTGCTCACAGAGTTATTCAGACACGATCCAACCACCCTGGAAATATCTGAATATGTCCTGGTCCACTGCTAGAGGCACATAGTATGCAGGAGGAAGACAGCAGTACTGAAACAAGTCCATAACTATGGATTTCCATGCGTCAGATCTTTCATGAGAATTCCCCTTTAACATTTTGTTCAGTTGCAGAGGTCACTCCTGATGCTACCAGTACAAAATACTGAAGAAAGAAGGAAACACCAGCAAAACTCAAGGACCAACATGCTATGAGTGGCAAAGGACTAGAGCCAATCTGCAAAAATACGGCACAAGTTGAACATGAGAAAATCCGAGGGGATGCTTATTTAACAGCTATTAGAACTGGTCAGACAGATTCATCGACCTGGGTTTTGAGAACTAATGGCGCTTTTCCACTGGGATACAGGAAGCTGTACTGCAAAGACAAACTAGTTACAGCTTTGTTCAACTCACTTTGATTTTCCACTGCAAAAGGGTCCACTTGGTAAAGTTTAGAGAGTGCCAGTAACGTAAAACTGATTAAATGCTGGTTTACTGTTCACTAAGTGTACATCATGACTTTCTATGTGCTAATTTCCACTGGCATGTCTGAAAACTGCCGTGTTCTTAGTATCACACACTAGCGGAATTAGCATTAGCTTGCATAAATCTGCATTATGAATTCATTCCATTCTGCCTTCATATACATCTTTTTCCAGTAGAAGGCTGGAAATGTTCAAGTTCCAAGTAATCTGGAATGCATTGATACATTGCAATGTGCGATACTACTAATTCATGCGTGTTGACGCAGATCATTGGTTCTTTCTAGTCTTCTCATTTCGACCAATCAGATGGTGGTGACTCAACCAGCTCTAAGCTTTAAGCAGGGCCATGTCAGCGCAGGTACAAGTCAGGTATGGCTTGCATCATTTACAATGGAAAACAGTCTCTTCGCAATTCCCCTTGGGTCTGGCTCGGTTCTTGTGACAGTGGAAAAGCGCCATAACATTCATAAGCAGCAGGTGACATCCTCCACATAGCATCTAACTGTGGGGGAATCTGTCATTTTCTCTCATCTCAGGCATAACCCAGGCCCTTTAACCACACTGCTGGGAACATGCACATGACAGTTCAGCAGGCTGATGTCTGATGGCACGTTACTGAGAGCTACCTCCTGAACAGAGTACCTTGTATAACACAAATGCAGAAATCAGTTGAGTGCAGGCGGACTCGCACACTCCACTACTAAAACTATATATGACTGCCAGGAACCACAAGGCTTTGCCAGATACATCCAATCTGGTGACGTTGCCTTAGGATCACCAATCACTCCACTTCACCTCGTACACTTCTGCCTCTTCACTGCTGTTCCTTCGGTTCACCAAGTTAACATCCTGGAGTGTCTGGTAACAGACAATTCTGCAGGCTAACCAATGTGAATGAAAGCCGCAGAGGCTCATTAAAGGTTTACATGGCTCAGGAGAAGTAGCCTGCTAACATATAGGCCTGCAAGATATGCCATACACCAGGCACCCACATGCCTTTCTGCACTCGATTCGCTCTGACACTTGCATTTGTAATATTCCTTGATAGTTCCAATTTTCTCCAATACTCAGAAATCAAATTTAAACCATGCCTATGGTTCCAAAATTTTACACACAGAATAAGGGCAAAAATTCCACTTATTTGCGGAAAGACTAGAATCGAAAGTTAAAGGTGCTGCGTATTTCCAAGACTCGTCTTTACTTCTGACCTTATCAAAATAGGGACTTCGGTCCATGGAAGACTCTTTGGAGATGTGATGCCGTTGTCCGGGACTCTTTCCAATCACACCGTTGTAATCCATATTCAGAACATGCTTGTCCACATCCATACGCTTGTCTGCCAACATCCCTGCGGAAAACAAGCATAACTGATGCACATCGTGTATGTGGAATTGCGTTAAATCAGCATGTGTTGTATTAACTATTTGAAGTATGTAGTGATGGCATCCATAAAACATCCCTCGTTCCTCTGCAATGATGCAAGATGCAAGGAATATTTAGCTGAACGTTACATCTTACATCAGATCTTATTCTTTTGTATTTTGTTTCACCTGTCACTCTCTCACCATTATCCCATATATGAGAAAACAGAATAATATAATTATAGGGAAGAACAAAATTACAATGTTACCTCCGGATATTTCCATTTTATTGCTCTTTAAGATTTCTTCAGAAGATTCCCTCTGTGAAAACATGGAAAATCATCAAGAAAACATGACATGGCCTAATTCATTCTCTTTCTGCGTTTTCGTTGACCTGGGCCGTTTTATACTTCATTTCTCACAACACTTATCCATCAATTAGCAAAAGCAGAATATACAGTCAGCGGCCCGTTTGCCAACTACTCCAAGCAGTGTTAAGTATGACTCACATTTGTCTCCAGAACCGCTTGGGGGGAAAATGAGTTGTGTGATCAGACGTCATTCTGCACACCACTGTTGTACTGAGCTGCTATTTTTGCACTTGTGGTCTTCCTGTCAGCTTTAACAAGTCTGACCATTCTCCTCTGACCTCTCTCATTTGCAAGGTGTTTTCAGCTACAGAAATGCCCCTGACAGGATGTGTTTTCTTCATCACACCGTTCTCTGTAAACTCTAGACACAGTGGTGTACGTGAAACTCCCAGGAAGGTGGCCACTTCTAAAAGCAGGACGACACCGGCACTGATGACACCGGCACACCACGACCATCACACCACGTTCAAAATCACTTAGATCAGGATCTTAGCTCTTCTATCAGGAGAATCTTTTGACCCTGTCTACACGCTGTATGTATTCAGTTGCAATATGATTCACTGTTTTGAGGAGCAGGGTATGTTTGCACTGACAAGCAGATGAACCAAACAGGCAACAGAGTGAAAATCACCACACTTTAGCTGGAATTCTTACAGAGAAGTTCATGTTGTTGAACTGCTTGACAAACTGATTCATCCATGCATCATCTTGCTTGTTGACTCCCTTGTTAACCTAAAAACAGAAAGGTAGCTCAGCACATGAACTTTCAAAAAGCACAGCATGCAGTACGTGAACACTGTGGTTCCTTACTTTTGATGGCTTCTTCACATAAGGCCAGTTCCCAGTTTGGTTCACTTCCTGGGAAGGGGTGTTATTCCACATCCCAATCTCAACCTCCTCCTCTTCCTCCCAGCTGGGATGGTGTGCATCGGCCAAAGGCATTTCTTCACCACACCAGTTGCTTTGCACAGGTTTGGGTCCTGGAGTTGCAATGGAGTATGTTATTTCCAAGGAAACAACACATCTCTCCGGCTTTTGCGAAGAAAGATTCTGCATGGCAGTTGCCTTCCCCAAGCTTACCAGTGTTGTGCTGTTGCTGGTGCCCCACTGCTGTGCTTCCCCAGCCACTTGTGCCTGTATTCTGCCTGCCTGGTTCTTCCCAGCTTGTCCCCGTGTCCATGGGTTTCCCCCAGGCTGAAGTACCATTGTCAACAGATACTGGAGGGCCTGACGGTTCCCCCCAAGAGGACTCGGACTTCTGGGCTGACCCACAAGGCTCTCCCCACCCTGCAAATAACAAGAAGGCATCTCAGGTTGCACTTGAGGCATCTCAGTGGAAACGACATTGACCAAATTATATTAGCCTGTCCTGGCTATGCACACAGGGGTGCTTGAACAAGACGTGCTCTTCAAAATACTTATGCTTTTGGCATTATTTGTGCAGGAGATATTAAAATTTTAGAAAGAGAATGCAGACAAACTAGCAAAATCCTGCTACAATAATTGTTGCAGCACAGAAATGTCTCACCTCTGCATTGTCCTCACTCTCACTTACCATTTCAGATTCAAAAGTACCTACTTCTACATATTCACATATTGACCTTTTCTATACCAAAAGCTGCAATTACATTGAAACCCATCTGCCACTGCAGAGCTTAATTTCTGAAAAGCTATGTGTTGAATCCACCAGAAGAACCCTTACCACTAGTTTTATCCTTGCTGGGCATTGAACTTGAGGGTGGTTGAAGTGTCGGTTTGGGTGGATGAGATTGCTGCTGTGCCACAGGTCCCTCCAGCTCACTTGCACTGTTCTTATTCCACATGTTCACACTATTATACTTATAGTTATTGGGATCCCCCCAGGCTGAAGTACCATCATCAATCTCCATTTTACGTCTGATAGATTCAGGAGAGGGTTCCTCCCAGCCTGTAGATTCATTATCATTTCTGGTAGCAGGGATTGGCCCACCAAGCCAACCCGAGGGCTTGTTTGCGGCAGAGGTCCCAGGTTGTGAAGAGCCGCTCCCCCAAGTCTGCCCCGCGGGGGTGTCTTGTGGCTTGTTCCAGTCTGAGGACTTGGAGGATTTTGTGCCATCATTCCAATCAGGAGCAGAGTGGCTGGGTTTCATGGGCTCTCCCCAGCCCTGGCTCGGATTGCTGGTTTTGCTGGGGTCTCCCCAGCCCTGGCTCGGATTGCTGGTTTTGCTGGGGTCTCCCCAGCCCTGCTTATGATGATTTGGCTTGGTTGGCTCTCCCCACCCAGATGGAACATTGTTGTTGAGGACATTTCCTCCGGCACTGCTTCCCCAAGTGTTGCTTGGGCCATTCCTACCTTGATCACTCCAACCTGACCCTGAACGGTCACTATCACTATCGCAACCACCAGAGCCTGATTTGACTGGTTCACCCCACTGATTTCCACGTGAACCTTCTCCCCATCCATCAGCACTAGGAGGACCACCCCACCCTTGGTTGGATTTCTGTCTTTCAATCAATCCCTGCTTGCCCTTTTGTGCATCGTTCCAAGTAGAGGATTTGTCTTTGCTGCTCCCCCATGATGGATTGCCCTTGCCAACTCCAGCTATGGAATCGTCCTCCCAACCATCTTGGCCTTTGGCGTTGCTCCACCCCGAGGCAGGTTTTGGCTCTGTGCAACCAGTTACTGATGAAGCCTCATTTTTGCTGCCCGGCCCATCCCCCCATCCTCCAGAATTAGGAGCCCGGGAGCCAAAGCTGCCCCAGGCCTCTGTCCCATTATCAGTCTTTTTGTCAGAGTTGGAAGATATCACTTTGTCCCATGTGGTGTTCTGCCGTACCGGTGTCTGGCCCCAGCCACTGTTGGACAGAACACGAGGGTCTAAATCGGCCCTGGGGAGCACAGTCTGCACCACCCCTTGGGAGGTGGGCTTCCTGCGGCCAGTGCTTCGCTGTGTATCCCTTTCGCCTTGACTGCCAGTGCTTTCGCCACTACCTTCACTGCCAGTCGACTTGGCCCAGGTGCCACCCTGACTGCTGATTTGGGTGACTTGCCTAGCACCCCCCTCACCTAAAGCATCTTCTTCCATTGACATCCATCCATTTGTTCCCTTCCTGTTCCCATTCATGCCATCATTGGAATGCTGATTGTTGCCAGGCAGAGAGTTCCATTCACCGTTGGAGACCTTAGTGCCAGTGTTCGAAGATGAAGAGGATGATGACGACGAGGAGGATGATGCACTGCCCCAGGGGCGAGGGATCCCAGTGGGTCCAACACCACTTCCTCCTCCCCAGGCTATTGATTGGGAGGCCGTGGGCCCAGAGTCCCAACCTCCAACGCGTCCCCCCCTTACACTATTATTAAAAGCAGCAGCGCTTGCAGTGGATCCATTCACTCCAGACTGCATTAGAGTTGCGTTCACAGTGTCACCCACAGCATGGCCTTTAGGGACAGGGCATTTGTCTCCGGAGTAACTGGCATCTCTTGGAGGTCCCCATGCTTTACCGTAAGACTCGCTGTTTATTCCCTCGCTGTTGCCATGCTGAGAAATTGAAGTGCCATTAGAAACTGCTGAGGCTTGGAGCTGAGATGAGCTTCCTGAGCTCACCTGCCAGGCTTGTTGCCCTACGGGCAGCTCATTAATCTGCATCGAACCAGTAGAGTTTGGTAAACTAGAGGTCATCATGTTAGTAGTGTTATTTGGTCCATTCAAATCAGTGTTCAGGTTTTGAGGTTGCCCGTTAAACGAAACCTTACTTGTACCATTGATGTCAAATTCTGCGTTGTTGTCCTGGAGGCTCCCCCAGGACGTATGGGCAGATAAGCCCATCTTAGAGTTACTCTGACTGCTGGGCGTTTGACCTATGGTGCTACGTTGAATACTGGTGCCACTATTCCCATTTCCCACAGGCCCATGTTGATTATGCCCACTGTTTTCCAAAACAGGCCAGGCACCATGGTTGGCATTTGGGTTCAAAGTGCTTGGATTTATACCTCCATTGGTTGAGGAACCTAGGGTACCCCATGCATTTAATTTACCATGGCTACTTTCGGTTAATTTGCCATTGGGGGCTTCCCCTGGGCTCTGACATGTGCTTGGCATTGACCCATGGGACATCCCCCATGGTCCCTTAATACTCCCACTGTCCATATTATTGCTGCCATTTGCAACCATAAACTGAGAACCATGTCTGTTGCCTTGTCTATTTCCATTGCTGTCGCCACTACCGTTCCCAGAAGCCATTATACTGAAGTTTCTCTCAGACCCAGAGCTTGAGGCAGCGTCAGTGTCCATACATTCTGGGGCTAACTCTGGCTCAGTACCGGCTGTAGGCCAGATTTCCCTGCTGCAGCCGTCTACAACAACTTTGTCCCAAGTGGAGTTGGAGTCACTGCCAGACGAACCAGAATTCCAATGCGAATTTTCATAATGAGAAATTAGACTACTCTCATTCAGATCTGTGGATGAAACAAAAAGAAAAGGTTGCTTTAGATGTGAAATACAGAAATAAGTTTGCATTGACAATGTACAGCACACCAGCTAAACCACAATTTCATAACACATTGTTAATGTGAACAACCCATTTGAATTGAAAAATACATATTTTTTAAAGAGGACATATCTACTACAGAACATCTGCAGTATCCAAACACAATTAGAGCACGGACTTATTCCAGACTATGCTACTTAAGTCAAAACTTGGCAGCGTTACATTGCTCTTGTCATCTTTAAGCACCAAGCTGCAGCATTTAACATTTCAAAAGGAAAGAGAAAGGAGCACAGTCCCGTGTTTGTTTTGACCGCTCGTCCAGCACTTCACTGAGGCCCCTTTGTTTCCAAAACCTGGCACGGCAATAAGCCTAAATACTTCTGCGAAACTTCGAGATTCCGGTCACTTTCAGACACACTACAAAATGGCTGCCAGACAGAAGCAGAGCCAGACTAATCCATCTGAACAAGTCTCATGCAACAATGAAGCTATGTTCGTATAATCGATCATATAATCACAAAAAGTGTCACCACATCTTTCAAAACCTCCCATTGATACCGAAGCTTAACTAGCCATCAAATCAGGTACATGCAGGCATCTCAGACCGTAGAGCAGTGAGATAGAAGCACCAAGTCTGACACAATCATTAATATGACGACACGAAAGCAGAAAAGACTTACTTTCCGCATCTTTCAGGTTGTCATACACACAATCATACATTGCACTACTATGTAGTGAAACTTTTATCCACCTACTTATCAAAATATGCATTGTACTTGTTGAAATATGCAATACAAAAAAGCTAAAGTTTTAAAAAATAAAATAAGTAAAATACAAATAAAACACTAAAGATAAAATGACTGCAAAAGACAAAAACAGAAATATCAATTGAAAAAGACGTGCAAGCACAGTGCATGTGTGATGTGCACTGAAATTTTAGCTACATATAGCCTGAAATCTTTGTGTTTCTAATCTTTTAATATTCAATGGGTTTTCAGCACAGAAAATGGACAATGCAAGTACAGCAAAATCTAAAACAGACTATGAAGCAAGTTCAGTCACATTAATATCAACCACATCTTTAAAGATTCTGTGACTGTAAAGCAAAGCAGCCTGGAAAAACCTAAAACAGCTCTTAACATAAAAAATGAGTAAAAAAAAAAAAAAAGAAAAAAAAAGGCAAAACACTAGAGATGCACCGATGGACCAGCCAGGGACCGGGAACCGGTCCATTTCACACGTGCACCACACGGCATACAAACAGCGGCACAAGCAGTAGCCTCACAGTCATGTGCACACTAACAGCTACACGCTAAGATGTCATTAGTGAATGAAGACGACAATGCTTGCAATCTGCAATACATGTAAAGCCAAAGTAAGCTTCGGGGGGTGTGGGACACACACACACACACACACACACACACACACACACACACACAACAAAACCATAATGAAATATCGGAGGTAAACTCTAAACTAATTAAACTGATTATTGAACATATACTAGATAATCTTGAAAAGGAATAATCATTAAAATGGCAAAGCTGGCTTTGTCATACCTTCATACTGTACAGACATCACAGTGCAGATTTTCCTATTACACAGTAAAAATGTTTTAGCAGAACTTTACCTCCCTTCACTATGACGTCTGTACAATATGAAGGTATGAAAAAGCCTGATCTTAATTTATCTTACTAGTGATGCAAGAATTGCATGTGCATAGCATGCGGTGTTGGTATTGATAATATTGCTCTGCACCTATTATTTGGTAGAGGATAATACATTTCAGTTTTATTTGGAGGTTTGTGACCAATGGACTTTATTTTAAGACAAGTTAAAAAAGAAAAGGAAAAGGTCAATGTTGTGTTAACTAGAATTTAAACATACGGCAAAATGATAAGTAACTGACTTAATATAAATCTGTTGCAACTGCTCTTTTTTGGTAAAGGAAAATATGTCAGATAAAGTTGGGTGATCAGCAACTCATTTTCAGTTCATTGTTATTTCTACCTCTTTCCAGTCACACAGCACTTTATTTTGTTATACTTGTTTAAGTGAGAGAAGATCCTGTAACTTAGTGTAGTTTGGCGGAAATTGTGAAGTTTAACAATTTATTATGAAAATAAAATTTTGCGCTGAAGAAAAGTTGATTTTTGTTTGCAATTCTCTTAGCCGTTTCCAATTTCCGATGTTTTTGCAAGTGTGACCTCCCGATTCCAATTTTCTTGCTAAGCTATGGCTGACATCATATGCAATCAGTCCATCTCTACATAACACATTTATTTAGTCTGATGGTTTACCCTCTATTACAGGTTGCCTTATAATGCATACCAGCCACATGAAACCCGTCCCGGTATTTGTTTAGACAAATGCGAGTCAGCCTTACTTTGTGCTTGTCGCTTTCCTGCATTCAGGCCTGAGTCACAACAACATGGATTTATCAATACTTCAAGCACTTGCTTCTACACTGGCAAAACAGAATCTGGTTATATTTAGGTAATGAGTCAGCCAAGCTAAGCTTCTATAGCATATGCTCAGCAAATACATAGTCAACATAGACACAAAGACAAGTTGGTAACCCTTGTAGACAGGAGCTATTACATACAAACATACTCCAATTACCAGCCCCCTATTTCCATTACAAGCATTTTATACAGCACAGTACAGGTGTATACTTTTATACATGAGGACCAGCTGAAATGATCAAGCATTCAGTTTACTGCAGCCGTTTGCCAGCTTCCAGTTAAATAGCTAGCAGCATAAATCAAGTCCGCTGACACTTGCAAAACAGGAGAATCTGAACTGAAAGCTTTCCTGAAAATGGCTATGTTTAGCATTAGCACATTGTTTCCTAACCCAGTCTTTGGGGAAACTCTGGACAATCCACGTTTTTGCTCCCTCCCAGCTCCCAGCCAATCAGGAACACCGAATACCTGGTACAAGTGCAAAGATTGGGTTGGGAAACACTGCATTAGCGTATACACTGACATGAACCACCGGCTCATGAATGTTGGTGGAGAAAATGCTAGACATTAGGGCTGCACGATATATCGATTTCAAATCGAAATCGCGATTTGAAACAACGCGATTAGCAAGTCGCAATTTAGGATATACATTATACAGCACGTCGGACCCAGGGTTTAAAACTGCTGTGAGAGTAGTTTTACAAATTCATGCCATGCTCCCTGTGTGACAGTCATTCTCACCAATCACAAGCGCCGTGCTTCTCGCGTGCCAGTCATGCTCACCAATCAGAAGTGGCCCAAGGCGGCGTATAGGCCCATAAACAGCAAACACGTGAAACCCAAGGAAAATGTTACATTAGCGGTGCGGAAAAATACTGATTCCGCTACTGAGCTATAAGTGAATTGCCTTCCTATTTCATGGTCCGAGATAGGACCTTTCTGAAACAATCATCAATAGAACCGGCGAGCTCCTTTTAAACACCAGCTACAATATACTTCAGCGTATCATACCTTTGGTTTTTGCTAATAGGCAGTAGCATTAGTATACCGCTAACCCATCAAAACAACGAGACAGTCAGTAATTCTGACAGCAGCGGAGTCGGTGACCTCCAAAAAAGCTGTAAAACCCACAATACAGTCGTGTTTATGTCATGTTTTTGTGCTCATTAAATTTAAGTGTTTCCAAAGATTAATCCCACAACAGTAATAAAATAAAAGTCTTGCTTTAACATAAATACTAAAAGAATAGATCGCTTTAATCGCTATTACAGTTGGGTATGGGCACGCGGTCTTATTTAGAAAACATACAAAAAGAGACGCATATAATGTTTAATCATTCGTTTTGTATTTGTCCGAGTAACAAAGCAAAGGAATGATAATTAAGCTGCTTCAGTCGAAAACTGCATTTTACTTCTCATTTAAAATAAAATGCAGGGTTGGCAACTTTGGTCAGCTGCATGGAGTGAGATTTTCTGTTCTCTGTTCTGCACACATTTACATGTATGTAAGTTTTATTACCTTGGAAATAGTCTGTAGGGTTTGCAAACTGCCGTAACGTTTTTGATGCAGCTAATTTTAAGTTCAGAATGGAATTTAGATTTGCCGTAAGATTTCTTGCGTGAGAGTCTGAAAGAGTTTGCAACCATGAACACATGCATTTTTTGTTTCACCTGAATTGATTTGTATAGAAAATAACCGTATACAGTTTAAAAGCGGAAACTTCGACCAACATGAAATCACCAATAAACGACTTCTATTTATTCAACATTTTATAAAATGCATACTACGTACGTTTAAAAATTTACCACATTATTTACAAAAGGGCTGCATACACCGAAGTAGTTCCTGCTTGTTCATTGGTGTGGGAAAAGGCGGTTCTAGTGTTATTAGGAGGGTAATAAGCGTTACCTGCAAGATCGCTATTTTTCTTTTTGCTGCAATTGTTTTCATTATTACTTTATTTAACTTGACACATCACATCTTTAAATCCTCATCCTTGCATTAGAATATAGACCAGTTAATACTGATGGTATCACATGCTGCGTCATATGTTTTAAAATTACTACACACTGAATATTGAACTGAAGCTTGTCATAAATTAAATCGCAAATCAAATCGTAATCGCAATTTCTGTCAGAAAAGGCGCGATTCGATATTTTCCCCAAATCGTGCAGCCCTACTAGACATGTACGTTAGTGGTATATCAACACTTCAACTTTTTGTGCTTGAAGTGTTGCTATGGGATATTTAGGATTTGTGTGCATTCATGGGCACAAAGTACTACACACATTTGTCAGTAACTATTGTTAACACAATTCTTGGAATCCAATGAAAAACTGGCATCAAGGCCTATTAGATAAATCAAGAAATACAATGCTTCACTTAATCTTTAACACGACAAGTATTCCCAGGCATGCATTTCCGGAGGGTTAAGGGCAGCACTTTGTCATTAACTACCAAAGAATTTATGACATTGCAACACATAATTCAGTAATCAGGCTGAATCCATTGATAATTAACATCATAACATTCAAGAAAACCTAAACACCACACGGTGGAAGCCGATCCAGTTAAGAGTCAAAGTGAGATGAAAAATAAAAATGGTAATCACCTGTCTGGTTAGGAGACTGGCTGACCAAATCCCGTATGGGAGGCATGCCTACAAAGACAAAAGTGACACCACAAGGGTGACTGCTGAATGGCAGGCTTCACAATCAGCATTCTGGCTAAAGCTACACAAAGCTAGCTTACCATTTTCTTTTCTGTATTTGCAGAACTCTCTTGTCTTGTAAATTAGTAAAATAGCTACTAATTTAGGTGTAAAAAGTCGACACTAAAAACTATTCCAGAAGGACAGGGCATTTTAGTTGACATAAACAAATATGCATGGAATACAGCCACAGCAATGGGATAATGAAAATTACAGTGTTATTTGGAGGAGTATCTCAGAAATCTCAGCAGACACTCATATACCATCCACAACTTTACACAGAAATATGTTTGACAGGACCAAACTGCCTTGTAACAACAAGACTAGCACAAGACGTCTTTATACAGTACCCTAACGGTCACACCAAAAATGTAGTACTTCATGGTTCAATGAACATGACCCAAGTGTAGTGCTGAGAATTAACTGATGGAGCATCTCTCCAGTAACACACAATTACAATTAGTCTAGCATACAATACCATGTGGTTTCAGCCTGGAATGGGCAGCCTTCCATAACACACCAAAACGTCTGAGGCCAGGGATGACCAGCACAGTTCATTTACACACTTATGCTCTCATACATATCTCATGCCCTTTGTGTTGACAAATAGCTAGATACTGACATTATCAAACATGGGTGCTCAATTTTAACTCAAAAACGCAGATTTTTTTAAACTGCTGCCCGCTACATATTTCAATGCCATAGCCATCACATTTCGATACTGACAAGACCGTGTAAGACTGTTTTTTTTATCAGAAATCTGTGACTTTTGCCTGTTCACTCCTATGATTAACACCCTTGCACTCAGCCAATGTTTCAGATTACACTCGCAGTATTCTACAAAGGTGGGCTTTTACACATCTCACACATGCCAGGCTACTAGTGTCTAGGCCATCAGGGCTCAGAAGCCGCCCAAGATGCACAGACTAACTTTGGTGTGTGTGTGTGTGTGGAGTTTGGTTGAAGTCAAAGGATCTTTCCAGGCCATCTTCATCTGCAGAACTAACACCTTACCAAAAGGTAGCTGGTGACACTTCATGGTTAAAAAAAAAAGAAAAAAAACCCTGCACAACGTGTGATACCAAACTATCATGTTGACCAAAATGCTCCGTAAATAATCCTTACTAATGCATCATATCAATCCCATGTGATTATACAATGCAAGACTTTAATTAAAGGGTGACAATGCATTACCTGGGAGCTGGGTCCTCTGGAGAGGCCCCTCGCCGGCAGGCTGAGCGCCCCCTGCTGGGTGGGAGGCGAAAGGCGCTCGGGTTCCCAGTGTGGCGGCGGAGGAGACGGGAAGAGGCTGGCCTCGCTTCAGCAGCTGCTCCTGCTCCTGCTGGCGGAATCGCGGAGGGGGCGGGCGTCTGGGTGGGACTTGCGGCTGAGTGCTGGCGGGGGCCCGCTTGGCATTTCTGACGCCGCTTGTTGCAGGGGCGCCGTCACTCCGCGACCTGGCAGGCTGAGGCTGGCTTAAACTGGACTTGGTATGTTCTGGCACTGAGGTGGAGAGAGAAGCGGCATTTAGGTCACATGCAATAAAAACACGGAGAGCAGCAGGCAGCGCCGGGCTAGATTTCAAATGAAAAGGAGCTTTCGGGTTCATAGTCTTGAGCAATTTAATTTTAACTCGAGTCTGAGCCCTGTGCAAACAGGCACACAAAAAAAAACCCTTTAGACAGAAAGATCAGAGACTGACATTGGTAGCTTATACCAGAGCAAAAACATGACACCTCAGTATCACAAGACTCCGGTTTGCAATGGAAAACAGGCACAGAATATCAGTACTGGGTTCAAGGACACTGGAAATGCATCTAGATTTCAGGTTTCCGCTCGAAGCAGATTCCAGCCCAACCGATCAAACCCCTCCTCCATCAGGTAACCCCCAATCGTCCAATCAATGCAGAAGCTTGCGCTCAGATGGATAGGCTGCGGTTGGGCCTACAAAGCCAGCCTCCATGCATGACCCCCGAAGCCGGTTACGAGCTGCCGGGCTAACATGCTAAGTACGGGCCACGACGTGCCCATAAAATGAGGATCTGGAACAGGAAAATCCCAATGAAACCCCAAGTTTAATTATAATCATTTAAGCATGAGCTAAATCATTAACAAGCCTACTAATAAGCTATTCTTTATAGGTGGAAGCCATTAATTAGATCGGTAAATGTCCTACAGACAGTACAGAAGCGGTTCGGCACCAACCCAACGCTAGAGGGAGATGCGTTGTAAATAAACACAAACAGATCGGGAAACGCATGTCTACCTGCTGCTTGTTCAGGGAACACCCGAGCCACCCTCAGAGAACCTGAGCACTATGGGTAAGCACAGGATCAGCACTTAACACTCTGTCTAACACTAACTAACTATAAACTATGTCGTGAAGCACATCGCTTCTTCCCGACAGCCGCTAAGCCGGGTGTTCCCGTTAATACCGCCCAAGCACCACGGATGATCCTAGCCGAGAGTAATCTCCAGCAGAACACCCTTGTATTCTGGATACATCGCTCGGCAAACTCCAGCCGGTGCTAACGAGCTCCCAGCCCCTCGTACCCACTGAGTGCAGCCAACTCCCTGCTCTTAAAAACAAGCTCACTCTCCGCTACAAAGAACACTAGACTACAAAACCCAGAGCTGAGGTCTGGCATTATTAAAACCTCCTGCAAAGCACCTCTGACTTTCCAAAGGCTTTCCAGTTTTTCACAAGGTGCTAATGATATGCGCATTTACTGCTCACAAGCCATTCCGTAAAACAAAAAAAAACAGGCGACCCCAACCTCGGCAAACGTCGGCCATGTAAATAACCACAAACCTGTGCAGTCAGAGGAAGGGTAAGGAGCCTGCCGATGACTTTGAGGAGCCAAAGTGTCATTTCTTTAAAAACGGGGGGGAAGAAAAGAAAAAAAAAAGACTGCAAACAATTCAAGAAAACACTTTTGGAAGACAGCTGCTCGAACTTCTGCTGCTTTCCTGCTCGGGACATTTCATTAGAAAATGGAGAGGCACGGTGTCATTTTACTGCAAGAGCGAGCTTTGCTCTCCTTTTTTTCCTTCATTGAGAGAGAGAGGGAGAGAGAGAGAGAGATGGGAGGGGGAGCATGGGGAGGAAGCCGTGTCACAGATCGGAAGGGAACCCTCCTGGGCCGGCTGGCACCCTCAGAGAACGTGTCGGAGAGAGCGGCACCCCGGACTGCATTTCCACCGCGTGCACGAGACGTTTTAAAGTGCTGCGGAGTCCCGCTTTAATCTGCATGCCGAGCCACTTCCTGTCTCGGCTGCATGGCACTGTCACCAGCGTGGCGCTCACCCTCCACGCTGCCACATGCATTCTGTACCTTGCTGGTGGTGGTGGTGCTGGTGGTGGTTTACTCATCCAGCAACATTTACACACATCACCTGAAGTCCTAATTCAGTTCCGAGGCACCTGACCCAAACACAGGACCGGTCAGGGGCCTTTTCACAGTAACACACTGCTTCCGTATTACACTGCATGTTGCAGTGCATTTCCCCTGTAACGGCAGGAGTCACCACAGCCCTCAGCAACCCAGCTCTCAGCACCAGACAGGAACCTCAAGCACGACCCAGCATTTTCAGCAAGCCACCCTGGATACAATCAACTGACAGCAAAGCATAATGCACAAAGGTCAATAAAGCCAGTTCATCTACACCTAAGGCCAGGGGCAAATTAACAAATGAAGCTAATACAACGTATTGCACAATGTTAAAGTGCAATAAATCTGACGTACAGGTTACTTCATGCAACCTGCAGACCAGGACCAATGTCCATTTGATAACACTGAGTGCAGTGGTGAAGGACCAGGAGGGTCAGTGGTCCACACCGTCAGAATTACAATTAAAATACCGACTGCTCAAACAACATCCTGGATTAAAGTTCCATCTGAGCTTGTCGTGTTTTGAACACTGTTCTGATAGTGTAGTAAAGGCCAAACTGGGGGAGACGAGACCAGCACACAGGGAGAACATGTAACCTGCAGTGGGGGAGGAGGGAGGGGCTATGGGGAGAGCGAGCTTTCAGGCAGGTCAGGGGGGCGTAACAGCAGGTAACAGGTCCCGGCATGCCACCGATCGGCGGAGCCAAGAACGAATGAAACGCAGTCAGTGAAAAGCACAACTGCAAATACTGGGGCCTCCAGACATATTTTGTGTGCTTACAAGAAAAAGGCAAACAAGCAAGCAATTAAGAAAATTCCAGCAGCTCACATTGAAGGGGGTCTGACAGGTTAAATAGGAGGACAGTAGAACGTAATCTGATCCCCAGAACACCCACACCTGGAATTGCATAACTAAAGGCTTCTCGGATGTCCACAAAGCCTGCTGGCACCTTTGCAGTGGCAACCGCTGCAGACGCCGTGCAGATTTTCGGACGGGCCCCTCCCCCGGCCATTGCTCTCCATGGGCCGGCCCGGGAGACGCATTTTGCGTATTAGTATTTACAGCTGAACCCTGCATCTCTCTCATCCCTTAATCAGCAGCTATGTCTGAAACATGTCGTGGAGTGAAGCTGTAGACTCACTATAATTCAGCATGTCATACTTATCCAGTCGCAGCTTTAACAACATTTCAGTGTACACCGCTCAATCATCTCCTTGATATTTCACGGACCGAAAACACTGGTTTGCCACGAAAAAACAGTTTCTCTTTTAGACCGATTACATTCCAAAAATTCCAAAAAACGAAAACAGCATCAGAAAGGAGGAAAACTGGGATCCTCGACTACATACTGTAAAAGATGGCCAGGTCTTAGCTAGCTGATAGCAAAGCTTATAGGTAATTAGGCCAGAAGTAGTATCTAGTGCAGTTCCTTCACGTTGCCAGTGGAAACGACGACTTCACAGCTGGTGCGGGCCAGAGAGATGGCCTCAGCCATAATGCACCATTTATAAAACTTTATCTCCCCATCTTACCCTAATGCCCCCTCCCAGTGCTACTCTGTTACTACTAGTTTTAAATTGCAATGCTCAAGCACGTCAAAACAGAAAATATACCACAAGAAAAATTCTGGGAATTCTTCAAAGACAACAGCAAATAACTGCCCAAAAACTGAATTATCCATTTTACAATACATAAAAGGTTTAAGGGCGATTAAGATGTCACCCTGGCCCCAAACATTACCTTGAAAGTAACTCAAGCTTAGATATTGTAACATATCCGGGGGAGGGGGCAGTTTACCTTCCTCCCCCAATTTGGAAAATACACCTGAAACCACCAGGTGGCATGATTCTTATTAGAGGACCTTCAGCCCAGGCTGCAATGACGCTCAACATACAGCGAGCCAAGAATCTTCCTGCACTCCCAGCATAATGAACACATTTGGTCCCTGGATAGTTCCTAGCGAGCTCTGGTAGATCGAGGGCTACAGTGTTTAAAGTGCCCCCCTCCCCCAGCACACACAAGCTCTCGATCCTGATGACTCACTGGCCAAACATCCACCCCACTGCCAGGCTTGAGCCATATTTGAAGAAAAGGACACAGCATCGACGTTAATTAGAACCGCCAAATTCGCTGTTCCAAACTCACACAGTCTACGTCGACTGAAAGGGCGGCTCATCTTGAACGCAGGGCACGCCACCCAAGGCCGTGTGTAACTCGAGATAAGCCAAACGTCGCAGGGTAGGGTGACTGAGTGGGGAAGAACTTTGGACGAGCTCCTGGCATTTGTCCATTTCTAACCTTTACAAGGTCTGAAATGAACACGCACACTCACGCTGGGTCCCTCACGTCAGAGAGGTCCCTTCTTCATGGAAAATGAGCCCTCTCCAGGAATGCAAACGCACTGCGTTTTTAAAAAGTGCGCAAATTAACCACGACCCCCAGCAGACCTGTAACGTACAAACTTATAAGCAAGCTCAATTTTACCCAGATTAGTTTTTTTTTAGCTTTATTCGCCAAAGCAGTGTCCAGTATCTACATTGGATATAATCCGCAGTGAGACAATCCACTCTATTTACATAAACTTAGTGGTTGAGTTTATCTACCAGCATTTAACTACAACTTGTTAGGTAGATTCATATTCAAAAAATTCTCAAAATAAGCTTTTTTCACTTAGTTGTCATTTTAAGATAAAATAATTCTACTTTAGAACATTACATGACATTTTTGCAAATATAGCTTAACAGCACCATTCAACCACTTTCATTGTTGAAACAGCAGAAAACAGCCATTCCTCTTCCTAGTTAAATCAGACCCTATAAACTATACATTTCTGTGGCAGACAGACACATAATCCAGCTATGATAGGGTGTTTATTATGGATTTCACAATTCAGAAAAGACTATCGCCTTGAGAGGGCCATATTGTTAAATACGGCAGGCTCGTGGGAGTTTGATTTTACAATATAGAGGATAACATTACAGACTGTGAGGGACCAAACAAAGAACTGCAGCCAACATAGATTGCAACCGTACCTACAGCTCTACCTGAATAAGCCTTATCAAAAGGCTCAATTATACCTACGCATTTGGCAGCTGACAACGAGGGGTCCC